GCTGTTTTTTTTATGAAAACCAAACAAGATCCAAGTGTTTATCAGGTCATTTATTTTATAGAATAAACATGAAAGGAATCAAAAATCTTATATATTAAAAACGATAATAAAAAGAAAGATTCTTACCCATAAATATTTAAAAATTATTTAAAAAATTTAAAATAAAAATAAATAAATAGGGTTTATGGGGTTGTTGGATTGAGATTGGGTCATGGTTCCTCGGGAAAGAACCCAAGGACCCATCATACAATCATTTATGTTTTTTTATATAGTTTTTAATATTTTAGTAATATTAAATACATACAATTSATGGTGAGGTTTAAATACGGTAACTTCAGACTATTTGTAAAATAGGTGGTTGTTTTGAGATTAGTTGGCTCGTATAGTGGGTTGAATATCCAGGTTAATAAAAAAAAATACATACAATTCARATATATGCCCTTTTAAATGCAAACCGTACGAGGGTTGTAAACTAACAAATCAAGGGTATTTGAGTCTTTTTTTTAAATTCGTATTTTTAGAAATAATTAGATTTTTTTACAAAATTGTTTATTTCTTAGATATCTTATTCGATTATTGTATGTAATCGAATCCGAWTTTTTAGGAATAAGAAATTCATATAAGTTCATAACTATTAGAAAAGTACTCGCGCAATGTATTGAGATACATCTTAATTTTAATGTTTTATTTTATTTTATTTTTGTCTCAGTCGATATTATAATACGGTTTTATGTGGTTTTGAGAAAAAAAACGATAAATGTTTTTATTTTAAATAAAATATAAATATGAAAATATCATAAAAATTTAAGAGATGACACGATTTGATCATAAAAACAGATCTATTGAATTTTTTTTATARTATTAGTATAGATTGATTGGTTGGCTGATTATCCTTGCACATGAACAACCCATATTTGATTCCTGCCTATAATCTTTTTTAAACATAAGATATATATAAAAAAATCAAAATTTAAGCTGAAAACTTATAAATCTGACAAAAGTGGAACTTGAAATCGGAGTTTTTGTACAAACTGAATAACATTTACCAACTTTGTCATCAGATATTTGCATAAAGATATCAGTTTCAAAAGCTATAMAGTGGCACACAACAAAACAATACRGTGACACCCTTCAAAACATAAATTTTCCCSTTATGAGGGAACCATGAACCCGTGCTATGTAGGTCTGTTTATGTTTGTTGTGTGTGTATGGAYTGATTCAAATAAGAAGGTTAAGTATCGTGATAAGATAAGAAAGAAATATTCATACGTGAATTATTGGAAAAAAAACCTGGAAAAATTATGATGTTTTAGAAATGTGTAGTTATTATACTTTTTAATTAATAAGAACAGTTTTACTCTTAATTATAAAGAGAGAGAAATTTCTCCATCTCATAATTAAGTGTAAAATAAGAAATTAGACATTTACTTTTAAAAAYGAACGCTTATTTTAAAATAAAATAATAATATAAACACTTATGTTAGAAATTTGGCAGTTGCAGAATTGTTTGGTGCATAATGAATAAGTGGTCAGAATGAATAAGAGACTTTTATGATATAATGCAAAATAGAATCTAATTATTTGGTAATTGTTTATAATGAAATTAGGACGTCTAATGGTTAAAGGAGACTCGTGATACAAAATCATTCAGATGGTTTTAAAACCATTAAGTAGCAGATTTTTTTTGTCAAACAAGATTTATTTTTTTATGATTTAAAGACTGTCTCTTAATAAAACTATTAAAAAGTAAACAAACAACCCTAAATAGTAAATTACCATTCGTTTAAAAGGAAAGAAGAGAAAAGTGAGCATAATTGCTAAATTCTCTTCTCATGCTTCTTGAAAGCAAAAAAGGAAGATACTTTAATCAAGAGCCACCTCTTAATGTATATGTTCAAACCATAAATTAGAGTAAACTACACATTTGTTACATGTGGTCTGTTGAAAAGGGTATTTTTAGGAGTTGTTTATTTACCTCTTAATAGTTTCATTAAGAGCCAATTTCTGAATCGTTAAGAGGTGAATCTTGTTTGACAAAAAAAAAAAAAGTCTACCTCTAAATGGTTTTAAAACACTCTGAATGATTTTGTATCATGGATCTCTCTTAACCATTAAGAGCCCTAATTTCATTGTACACAATTACCAAACAATTATATTTCATTTTGTACTATATCGTGAGAGTCTTCTAATCATTCTGACCATTTAATCATTCTGCACCAAACCATTCAGCAATTGACAAACAACCCCTTATTTTTTATAGTCTTAAAATTACAAGATGGTCATTATATTTTATAAAAACATCTGGTTTTGGTCCCTTTCTTTTATAACTGTTAAAAACTTCCATTAAATAAGAGACAATTTTATTGTTTTTCTCTTTTGCCCGATCAAAATCAATTATTGATTTTAGTCCTTATGGTTTTCGATTGAATAAAATACAAAATCGATAAAAGAACGAAAATGTTACTCATTTTAATGAAATAACGACGGTTAAAAGGAGGGGCCAAACTGGATGTTTTAGCAAACCACGATGGCCWTCTTGTAATTTCAAAATTATAAGAACGAAAAGTGTTATTTTTTACAAACCAYRTGGACCAAATTTGTAGTTTACTCTATAGAYTATTTAKATTTGTATCATCTGYTTATTTTAGTTTGTCTCAAAATAARTGTTTAATCTCAAATGTTAGTTTCTATTTTTTTTTCATTTTTATTTTTAATTATGAGATATAGAGAAATTTTTTTCTCTATTATCAATGGTAAAAGTGTCGTTTAATTATTTAAAAGGTGTAAATTGCACAATTCTAAAACTGTACATTATTTTCATTATGAATATTTATTTTGGGACGGAGAAAATATTACAAATATTCAAATTATAATAACTGTTTTGTTAGTATTTTAAAACATATAATTATATTTGGAAAAACATRTAAGAAAAAACTAATTATTTAGGATAATATAAAATTACCTGCTTATTTTTCAAAATTTAAAACTATTATTTTAAAAGGACAAATTAYATGAAAAAGTAACGTATTTTAATTTGATTTCTATTTTGGGTAACGTACTTTAAAAAATTATATTTTGGTACCTAAGATGTAAAGTTTTGAATATTTAAGTACCCAAGTAACCGGTTGAAAATTAATTTTAGATTTAAAAAAATTCATGTTACTAATCACGTCAACAAATAATACTGAGTTGGATATCACATCACTCGGTACATCAGCATGATAACCGTTTAATGCTTCAACCGGTTACCCGAGTACTAAACAAATTAAACACAAAGTAACAATGAGTTATCTATTACAAACTTACCAATTTTAAACAACAATTTTCTCTTCTTTTTTTACGGTTGTATCGGCACCTCACTTCTTAATCGAGAATTTCATACAAAACATCTTTTTCCATGAATCAAACGAATTTCCCTATTTCTGACCACGTAAACAACCCATTACATGYGATAGATTATCCGCTAAATCATTGAGATTTGTTAAAAAAAAATCTTCCATAATTTTATAACTGTTGAAAAACTCCTTCAAGAGGGAGTTAGATGTGATTGGAGGCCAGAAAAAGATTAGAACGACACAGCAGAAGCATGGTGGACAC